CTCTGCTAAATATTGAGTAAAATTGTGTTTTTTTTGTTTTTTGCACACAAACTTCTCTTGTATATTTTGTAAAGTTGGTGTGTGCTATTCCTGTACAAAGTTTTATTTTGTGTTCAGTTACATCTGCTGAGTAAAATGACACCCCCATTGTATGTCTTTGGTACTATTTCGTGAAGTTACAGTGCCATACAGGATACCTGTCCTTTTCAGTATTCACAGTAGAATTTTGAGAGATGGATTTAATGAGCCTTAGCTTCCATTTGGGGTATTATAACAGTTTGACTGTTCAAAAAACCCCCACAAAGGTCTACCATTCGTAAATGTAGACACACCAGGGTATCTCATAAGGTGCATATTGTGCCTTAACATACCCCCATTTTTTCACCAATATATGCCAAAGTATGTGGTAAAAAATAATTTTGTGCATTTTTTACATACGGATTGCATTTTTGCTGGGCGTTTTGTATATTTCATATGTGCCACTAAGTTCAAACCCCCCAAATTATGCTCAGCTAAGTCTTCTGAGTAAAATGACACCCCATATGAATGTCTTTGGCACTATTTCGTGAAGCTACAATGCCATATAGGAGACCTGTTCTTTACAGTATTCACAGTAGAATTTTGAGAGATGGATTTAATGAGCCTTAGCTTCCATTTGGGGTATTATAACAGTTTGACTGTTCAAAAAACCCCACAAAGGCCTACCATTTGTAAAAGGAGACACTCCAGGGTATCTTATAAGGTGCATATTGTGCCTTAACATACCCCCATTTTTTCACCAATATATGCCAAAGTATGTGGTAAAAAATTATTTTGTGCATTTTTTACATACGGATTGCATTTTTGCTGGGCATTGTGTATATTTCATATGTGCCACTAAGTTCAAACCTCCCAAATTATGCTCAGCTAAGTCTTTTGAGTAAAAAGACACCCCCAATGAATGTATTTGGCACTATTTCGTGAAGCTACAGTGCCATATAGGAGACCAAGCCATATCCGTTTTTACCAAACTTTTGACGCTGGGCCTATGTGCAATTTCCAAGCATCTTCGCAGGTTTTAAATTCAAACTACCCCACAAAAGCCTACCATTTCTTAAAGTAGACACCCCAGGGTGTTTCAAAAGGTATATTTTGAACCTTAGCGTGGGATCATTTTTCCGCTAGCTTGTACCAGATGTAGTGGTAATAAGCGTTTTTTCTGCCTTTTTGACATACAAAGTGAGTTTGCACAGTATATTTTGCAAACCTTATGTGTGCTACGACTGTATAATACTTCATATGTTGCTCAGCTATGTTGGCTGAGTACAGCAATACCCCCGTATGTACCTTTGCCAGGTATGTGTGGACATCGGAGGGGCACATTTGGGACACAGCCATTCCAGTTTTTTTCAAACTTTGAATTTTTATGCTGTGCCTATGTCCCATTTTAGAGTATTTTACCAGGCTATATAATCCAAATACCCCATAAAGCCATACCATTTCTTAAAGAAGACATCCCAGGGTATTTCAAAAGGCATATTTTGAACCTTAGCGTGGGATCATTTTTCCGCTAGCTTGTACCAAGTGTAGTGGTAATAAGCATTTTTTCTGCCTTTTTGACATACAAAGTGAGTTTGCGCAGCATATTTTGCAAACTTTATGTGTGCTATGACTGTATAATACTTCATATGTTGCTCAGCTATGTCGGCTGAGTACAGCAATACCCCCGTATGTACCTTTGCCAGGTATATGTGGATGTTGAAGGGGCGCATTTGAGACGCAGCCATTCAGTTTTTTTCTAACTTTGAAGTTTTACGCTGTGTCCATGTTCCAATTTGGAGTAGTTTAGACGGTTGGTTATTGAAACTTCCCCACAAACACATACTATTTATTAAAGAATACACCCTGGGGTAATTCAAAAGGCATATTTTGAACCTTGGCATGGGATAATATTTTCTCTTGTTTGTTCCAGGTGTAGTGGTAATTTAAAAATTTATTTTTTTACTTTTTATAACTTTTTTACTTTTAAAAACTAGTTTTTAAACTTTTGTTTTGCTTATTAATTTTTTTTAAACTTTCCTAAACTTTCGTAAAACTTTTTTACAGATTTAAAATTTTTCTAAGCTTTTTTTTTACCGTTAACCCCTAACTAGCAGTACACAGCACTAACAATAAATTCCCCATTTTCCCATAACTCCCACCGACCCCAGCTAGCAAAATATATAGTTATAAAATATTTAAATTAATTAATTAAATAAATTGAACCCCTGAGGGTTAAAAAATAAATAAAAAGTTAATCCTCAGGGGTTAAAAAAAATTAGATCACAGTATAATACTGTGATCTCTATTTGATCGCTGTAGGCAGTGATCGACTGGTAGGGAAGGGGTTAATTTTTATTTGGACTAGGTAAAGGGTTTTATTTTTTATTTTTTTACTTAAACGTTATTAAAACATTTTTTTAAGCTTAATTTTTAACTTTTTAAAGTATATTTTAAAACTTTTTTTAACGTTAACCCCTAGTTAGCCTAACGCCAAATCCCCCAATTCCCCACTAACTTCCACCCACCCCAGCTAGCTAAATATATAATTTTAAAATATTTTAATTAATTAATTAAATAAATTTAACACCTGAGGGTTAAAAAAAAAAAGAATTAACACTCAGGGGTTAAAAAAAAAAAATCAGATCATAGTAAAATGTAATTCCTGCCAATTGATCACTGTAGTCAGTGATCAATTGGCAGGGAAGGGGTTAATTTTTTATTAAAATGGGTAAAGGGGGGGGGGGACTTTAAATAAACTTTATTTTTTTTAACAGCAGGGGGCAGGATCATCACTGTTCCGGCTCCCTGCACTTCACACAGAACCAGGAAGTGCAGGGAGCCGGAAGGTAAGTATACAGAGCACATGTGCTCGATCTGACTTGCGGTCAGAGCGAGCACATGTGCTGGGCAGCCTGACCGGGTGCTCCCGGTATGCCTCTAACGCAGAGGCATACCGGAGCACCATTAACCCCGCGATCCGGGGTTAATTTTACCGCGTGACGGACGAGGTCCGTCACTCGTCATGAAGGGTCTCCCTTCTGTGACGGACCTCGTCCGTCAACCGTCATTAAGGGGTTAAGGACAGAGTCAATTATCCAAGTTTTAAACCGAAACAAAACCTAGAACTTGAGCTATATGTCAGTTCAACCACAATTGACCTCTTTCACATGAAATGTACCCACTCGAGTTATATATTTTGTTCAGAAGAAATAGGACGCTCATTTTAAATCAAATATTCATATATAAAACATAATTTTAATGTGACTAAATTCTAAAAAGTGAGTGAAATTAAGAATTGTTGTTATTTTTAGATTCTGCATAACATTATAACTGTGAATTTCATTTTCAATACTGGGTAGTTAATACAATGCTAAACAAAAATCTGCACACCAGTCAAGCCATAAGACTTGCTTTTCCCACAGAAATCCCAAATCGGCAGTGATGTTACAACTGCAAAGGATTCTGGGTGGGCATATGCAAATTAGTTTAACAAAGAATCACATTTTTGCCTTATTCCATTTTAAACATGGATTCCTTTTAATTTGTGTTTGCAGTATACAACTGCTTGGAACACAACTTAGGATAAGATGCAAAACCAGTGAACCACTCATGGACAGCTGTTTCGTTGTTAATGCAACTCTTCAGCATGAGGTTGGTTACTGGTTTGCTTACTGAGGCTTGGTAGTGCTTGGGAAACTACCAGTTAACTTTTACTGCAATAAAACACACACATTTTTGTGCTGTTTTGACGCATGAGTACAACATTGAACTCCATGTACAGGTTTCATGGTCTTTTGGAAAGCTATATGGTTGAATATATATGTCTTGCCCATTTCATTTTTTACAAATTGAAATTTGCCAGATTGGTTTGATGGGCCTATGTAACCTTTGAGACCAGTTGGCACACTGGAAATTAAAATGACCCCTATCATTGCATACAATTTGCAAACCTAGACAATTTAAGGTACTCAGAATGGGGCATATCTGGCTTTATATAGTAGCCACTTTGTTACAAGTCCTGGACAAATTTAGTGTTCATATTTATTTATTGCATTTTTCACACAGAAACTGAATTTTCACCGATGCATTGTTATATGTTTTACTGCTCTAAAACACTAATATTTGTGTTTAGCGATGGGTAAAACAGTATCCCAACACATACAGGTTTTATTGGGTTTTGGAAAGTAACAGGGTCAAT